TACTTTAGTACTTCTTCTTCCACCGCTGGTAAACACTGAGCTTTAACAAATGTGTGTTTTTGTGCTCCAGAATTCAGCCAAGAGTTCCCACCAAGCCCCGTCTCCGTGGAGGACCAATGGGAAGTGAGTACACACACACACACACACACACACTCCGCTCGGCGCCAACCCGCCTTCATTCACCCACATAATTGAGAATTTATAATTCACCGGAGCTCCGCTGCAGAATACCACACCGGCCCTGACAGCCACTTGCTCAAACAAACCCCTCAGGAAGCAAATAAAGGGATTGATTTGTTGTAGATGTGAGGAGCAGAAGACTGGAGGGGCTGCCGAGTGCCAGGCGAGGAGTGATGGAGGGAGTGATGATGGATGGAGGAGGAGAGGCGTGGAGGATGTGAAGCTAATGAGTTTGGACAGCTCTGACGCTGCACAACAGCAGGACCGGAGCTCAGAGTGTGTGTCTGGTTGTGTGTGTTTGTGGCACAAGTTGCGGGTCAGCGAGGGTCAAGGCCACATCACAGACGTTACATCACTGCCAGAGCCTCACGCCCAGCTGTGCAGGACGGGAAGAGCAGTTTGTACCGACGGTGTTCCAGCGAACATCAGAAGCGTTTAATGTCAAAGCCGCAACAAAACACGGTGATTTGGTCCGACTAACTTCCTCTGTAATTAATGTGCGACATTATAAAGCCCAGCGTACTGTATCGTTGTTCATTTAGCTGCTATTCACTGTTTCCACCAGCAGCTATACGACAACAATTTGAAGCCTTTGTCTCGGTTGTTGGTGTTTTTTTTTGTGTTTTTTTTGTGCAAACCAATCGAGGCTAAAGCTAATTAAAGCGTTTATGTGTACGACCGATCAAATTACCATAAATAATATGAGAGGTATCACACACGAACGCCTCTTTCTGTGCAGCATCCTCACAAAGAAGCTGATTCGGTTTAGTGTCCCAACAGCTCTGCTTCCAACCGCACGACAGATGTTTTCCTAAATTAGCAGCTAGCAGCTAAGAAGTGATCAGACGTTGGTGCTAACAGAGTGAAAAGGAGGAAGACGGCTTTACTTTAAAGGTGCAGACAGCAGAAATGTGGAAAAGGTTAAATAAACACACCAGGATGTCAAAATACTCATTCATGTGTGGCTTCACCTGCTTTCCCGCATGAGAGGCTTTTGTTTAAGTCACTGCACCACCTCAACCCACCTTAATCCAGGGGTGTCCAATCCTGGTCCTCGAGAGCCACAGTCCTGCATGTTTCAGATGTTTCCCTCTGATTCAAATGATCAGGATCGTTATCAGGATCGANTGATGTTTTTTATTACAAGTTTTCTGAAATCATATGTTTAAATGTGCAATTAAAGCATAAAATGTCTTTAAAAATGTCCTAATTAGCATTAATTCCAACAACAGAAATTAGAAATTTGGATTAAAGCAGCATCAAAATGTTTGTTTCCTTTCATTGACATTTTGGTGTTAAAGGTTTTTAAAAAGGTTGATGTGGTGTCTCTTTTTCTCATTGCATAAATTAAGACATTCTGCACACAATCAGCACAAAAAAACCCAATAAAATGTTGTATAAATGAGGCTATTAGCGATATATATAAAAATACAACTCCTTCTTTCTTTACAAATCTTCAGAACATAAATAGGAATAAACCTGGAAAGTTGAGTCAATAAAGGTGCTGCTGAAAGAGATTTCAGATTACTCTGAGATTTCTGTGTCAGAGTAAAAGAAGAATCTCATCTTGAGCAAACAGCCTTCAGATGTTTTTATTGTATGATTTGTGAGAAAATAAAAACTACTAACAGATGTGACCATGAAACCTCTTCAGCTGATTGAGACAGTTAGTTTCTGAGTTACAAGTTTTCTCAAATGAAAAGTTCAAACATGCAAATGAGGTATTATCGTATTAAATATGCACGACTTTGCACAAATGTCTAGTAAACCACAAGCAGCCAAACTAACACAACCTGTTATTTTGTATAAATGTCCAACAGACCAAATGTAGGACGATAAACAGACGAGTTTGTCTCCACTTGTCTGATAGACGACACGTCATTAACTTTAAAGTTGACCCGTACATGAAACAACAATGTTTTTAGCTGCAGTGTCTCACCTTCAATAAATGAGATATGAAGTGATAATTAGTGAACTTTAGAGGTAATGGTTGGTGGGTTTTGTCACCTTCTGTTCAGCTGCTTATGTCTAGCTTCCTGTTTCTGTGCTATAGCTAAGCAACTCTCTGTTACTGTTGTTTTACACTGAAGGGACAGAAATGAGAGTCCATCGTCTGATTTAACTCTTAACAAGAACGTGATTAAATGTATTTCCAAAAAGGTTAAAACTATTCTTCTAAATGTAAATGATGACGTCAGTATTCCTTCTCTGTCTTCATTCTCTGGTCTGTCTTTAATGTGTCTGTAACGTCACTGTAAGTCACTAAGTTTCTGGAAAGTACTTTCACTCAGATACTGTAGTTTAGAACCATTTTTAAATGCTTCTATTTAACTTCAGTATTTCAGTTATGTGCCTCTTTGTAACTCTGATATATATCTGCACTTTTTTTTTTACTGCTTTTTACAACAACTGTAGCTTTTCATAACTTCCTAAATTAATCTTATACATTAAAACAGTATAAAACCACTTTAGACCTCCAGCCTTAAAGGTCAAACTGTTCAGTATTTCAGAAAAAAGAAAAATTAGAGAAAGAATTGACAGGTTTTTTTTCTTTAAATCTTTTTCCATTTGTTGTCAGTCACTGAAACAACTACTTTTATTTTTAATAATTTGAAT